ATATAGAGTGTGAAGAGGAGAGGACCGAGGACAGAGCCCTGAGGGACACCACACGAGACAGTGTGGGGGCTGGAGGAGAAGCCATTTGCCACGACGAAGTGGAGGCGGTGTGAAAGCTAGGACCTGAACCAGTCGAGGACAGAACCTTGAAGGTTGAGGTGGGAGGAGAGGCGGTGGAGGAGGATTGAATGATCCACAGTATCAAAGGCGGCAGAGAGGTCGAGGAGGATGAGGAGGCAGAGGGAGCCCTGGTCACACATGGTCAGGATGTCATTTGTGACCTTGACTAGAGCAGTTTCTGTACTGTGGGTAGCACGGAAACCCGATTGAAGGGGTTCATGGAGGGAGTGAGAGAAGAGGAAAGAGTGAAGCTGGGAGGCAATGGCTCTCTCAATGACCTTAGACAGAAAAGGGAGGTGGGAGATAGGCCAGTAACTGGATAGCTGTGATAGGTCAAGAGAAGGTTTCTTCAAGGTGGGGTGATAGTGGCTGTTTAGAAGCAGTTAGGAACAGTGACAGATGACAGTGAGAGGTTGATGAAGTCGGCGAGTAGTGGGACATGGAGTTGTAGCTGGGATTTAAGGAGAGGGGTGGGGATGGGATAAGGGGGGGCAGGTGGTGGGCTTCACGGAAGATATTGTGGTGATGACAGAGGAGGGGGGGCCAGGTTCAAAGGTGTGGAAGGAGGGATGGGTAGTGGTCGGAGTGTGGGGTGGGGGTAGGGAAGAGTTGAGAGGGCAGAGGCAGCTGAGCGGATTCCCTCGATTTTGAACTCAAGGAAGTCCAGCATTTCCTCTCAGTGGGAGTCGGAGAAAAGAATCTGCGAAGCATGGCGGGGAGGGGTGGAGGAACTGACTGGTGGTGGAGAACGGGAGCCTGGGGTTGCCGTTCGCCTCTAGGATTAACCTGGAGTAAAAGGACAATTTACCTGAAGCGAGAGTGGAGCGGACAGTTTTAATGTGGTCCAGCCAGATGTGGCGGTGGACCATTAGACCGGATTTGAGCCAGGTGCGTTCGCAGCTCCGCACCTGGCCCTTTAGCGAGTGGAGGTGGCTAATGAATCAGAATGAGGATCGGGAATAGGAGGCAGTTTGGGAGGTGAGGGGGTGAAGGGAATTGAGTGTGGTGGAGAGGGTGATGTGGAGGAGAGAAAACGCAGAGGATCGGTTGGTGCAGAAGGTGGGCCAGAGTGGGAAGAGATGGTGGTTAGAGATGGTCATGTCGGTGATGGTGACTACGAGACGCTGAGGCCTGTAGCTCAGTGGTTAGAGCACTCGCTTTGCAAGCGAGAGACCTGAATTCAATTCCAGGCAGAGCGAAACCTTGGGCAAGTTTCCTTACTCCACACAGAGCCTAATAATAATCCCTCCAAAACCAAAACCAATAATAAATTGGTCATTTTCAATCTACGATTGTTTGTGGGACATTGCTGTGCGCAATTGGCTGCCACGTTTGCCCACAAGTATACAGTCAATTGACTTTACAGTGTGTTCTGTGAAGCGCTTTGGGACGTCCTCCCGACGTGAAAAGCACTATATCAAATGCAAGGATTATTATTATTATTATCACCAGGTCGAGAGGGTAGCCATGAATTTGGGTAGCAAAGTGGATGTGGAGGGAAAGATTGAGAGAAGAGAAAAGTGGAGAACTCTGAGGAGGTGGAGAAAGAGGGGGTGAAGTGGAGGTTGAAGTCACCTAGGATGATGAGGCGGTTGAAGCAAAGGCAGAGGGAAACTAGAAGGGTGGAGATGTCAGAGATGAAGGTGGGGGAGGCTTTTAGGGGGCGGTAAATTAGGAGAATGTTTAGTGAGAGATGGAAGGGATGGCAGAGGGTTAGGTGATCAAAAGAGGGGAATGAGCCAGCGGAGTAGGGGGATAGAGCAATGACACCCTGGAGATGAGGGCCACCCCACTGCCATGGTGGTTGGGACGTGGGGCATGGTGGTAGGTATAGCCGGGTGGTGTGGCCTCAGTGAGGGGGAAGGTGTCACCTGGGGTGATCCAGGTTTCCATGAGGCCCATAATATCAACGTTCTCATTGAGGATGAGATCCTTGGTGGCCAGAGTATTATTGCAGATGGAGGGGAAGTTTTGAAGGCCAATGCAGAAAGGACAGTTGGCAGAGGGATGTGTGGGATGGGAAGGGGTAGTGGATTGGAGGGTGGGGATGTGGATGAAGCAGGAGAGGTTAACCCCCGGGGTCTATCCGGAGTGGGTTGCGGCGGTAGTAGGAATGGGGCAGTCGGTGTGGCTGCTGCTGGACAACCAACGCTGAGTGCCACGATGAGCCCAGCAGAGAATTCCCAGGCTGGAGCAGAGGGGGGCATGGGGGGGGGGTCAAGCAGAGATAGGAGGCGGGGAGGGCAGAGAGAGCAGGACAAAGTGGGAGAGTTGCAGGGAGGGGGCATTTTGAGGGAGGGCCAGCTCGGGTCAGGGGCGGCAGCCAAGATGAACACGCTAAGACGAGAGGCGGCAGATTAGTGGGACATTGTCAGCCTGCAGGAGGCTGTGAAGGCTAGAGGTGGTGCAGAAGTGGGAGTGCGCTCATTCTGGTTAGCAAAGAGCAGCCTGCAGGGAAAGGACAGGGGAGGGAGACAGACAGAGGATGGGAGGGAGACACACTGGTATAAACTATATTATACCTGCTAAAAGTGATTCAAATATGGCAGGTGGAAGTGACGTCACGCAGAATGGCACAGAGAATGGCCTCCTTCTGAGCTGTATAATTCTATGAATCTATGATCACTGATGGCCTTTTGCCTCACTTCATGTATGTCCAGGCCTTCCTTAACTTTCTCTCTATGTAGTACAACCTATGGTTGTGCATGAAGATACCCAATCAGGAGAGAATGAATTTAGCTGCTATTCTAAAGATACAACCCAGAACATTACTATGAAACAAAATAAAATATGGTCTAAGGGCCGAATCTGTAAAATAGTTTGATTCATGCAGTCTCGGTAGTCTGGTTCCTGAGCCATGCATGTCTGCATTACTCCAAGGCACTGCTGGTAAAGCACAGCCAGCTGAGCTCATTGGCAGGACTTGGAAGGGCAGATCAGTCACTGGAGGCAGGGAATCCTCCGTTTCGATCCTGTTAATCTTGTTAACACCTTACCTCCTAGCTCCACATCTTGCCCCTACTCACAAATATCATAAACCTCTCCCTGTGTAACGTGATACCATTCCCACACCTCTAAAAATGGCCATCATCACTCATACCCTTAAAAAACCCTCCCTGGACCCATCCCTGCTCTCAAACTACCATCCTGTCTCCAACCTTTCCTTTCCAAGATCCTCGAATGAGTCATTGCTTCCCAGCTTTGCTCCTTCTTCCTCCAACAAATGACCAATGACATTTTGTCCATCTGCGACCAGGGCTCCCTCTGTCTCCTCGTCCTCCTTGACTGCTTTGCTGTCTTTGATACCATTGACCACTCTATCCTCCTCCACTGCCTCTACATTCACCTCAACCTTCGTTGTTCTGTCTTTGAATGGTTCAGATCTTACTGCTCACACTGTCTCCACTTTATCTCCACAAACGGCTTCTTCTCTAGCCCCCGCACCAACTTGTGTGGAGTTCCTCAGGGTTCGTCCTTGATCCCCTCCCTTTCACTGTCTATATGCTCCCTCTTGGTGGCATCATATCTGCAGACATGGGGTCAATTTCGACATGTTTGCAAATGATACTCCACTCTATATGTCTGCCTCCACGCTTGATTCCAGGACCACTGCTGTCCTGACAGAATATCTGTCAAACATCAAGTCCTTTCTACAGCTGAACGCCAACAAGACTGAGGCCCTCCTGATTGGCTCCCATCAGCTCCTCCACACCTCAGGCACTGACAGCAATACCATCTAAGGATTCACACTCTACCTCACTAAGCCAGTACGGATCCTTGGCATCTTGTTTGAGCCTCAATTATCCTTCCTACCCCACATCCATGCCATGTCCCGCTCTGCCTTCCCCCACCTCTGCAACATCACCCGGCTCCACCACAGGCCGCTGAAACCCTCATACACACATTCATAATACCCAAGCTCGACTATGCAAACTCCCTGCTTGTTGCCCTCCCCAAATCCTCTTTCCAAAGGCTGCAGAACATCTGCGACACTATCAACCCCATCCTTGCCCAACTCCACTGGCTTCCCACCATACAGGGATACAAATTAAGATCCTGGTCGTCACTTTCATGCCCTCCATGGACTTGCTCATCCCTACCTCTGCAATCTCTTAATCCGCTACCAACCTGTCCGCTCCCTCCACTCAGCGGGCTCCGGCCTACTTCATGTCCCCCGCCTCGCCCACCCCACCATTGGTGGGTGGGCCTTCTGCTTCCACCCTCTTGAAATCCATCCCACAATCCCTTTGCCTCACTCCCTCACTTGTTACCTTGAAGATCCATCTCAAGACCATCCTCTTCAACCATGCCTTCAGTCACCCACCTTTTCCCGTGCCCTCCACCCTCCCTAATCCCGACTCCCAGCTCGGATTCAAAATACTGATTGTCCAGCACCATGGGATGTCCTCCTGATGTGAAAGGCACTATACAAATGTAATTTTGCTGTTGTTGTTGCAAGCCAAAACCCTAAAGGGTAGGGTGATCCTAGCTGGACAATCAGCAGGAAAGCTTGACAGACAGCAATATCAATGGTTTTAGTTGTTTTTACTCCAGCAGTAAAACACACACTCTGGGGTCCCCAAGCCTTAGCTCTTGCCAATCTGCATCTAATATTTTCCAGAATAGGAAAGGATGCATTCCTTTAGGGAGAGAGTGCTCATTCCATTCCAACAATGTACATATAGGTAGTATGCATGGAATTCTCAGTTTGGTTTAGATACTCTTAAGCATGGTGATGAATTTCCGCATGTGTTATACTCCGGGCTGACCAATAAAAAAAGATTGAAATCCCTATGCTCTGTTGCTATAACCAATAACATTTGGACAGAGTGATCTTCCAGTAACCTAACACCCCTTGGTCTTTTTCAACTTCTGTGTTGGCAAGTTCTGTGTCATCCACAGAGTACATGTGCTCCTATTTTTACTATTCTGGCTGGCAGAATTACATTTAGATTTTTGCAGTCCTAAAGAGAACGTGATTTATTAATAGTCAGGGAAATTGAACTTTTAATCAAATGCATAGACGACTAGTGCTGATGGAAAAGTAAACCTGGTCTTGAAATATTTATGTGACATTAGTAGCTTATACAACCAAATACAGCTGACTGCAATGTGAAAACTAAGGTACGTTCAAGCTGGCTTTGTTTGTCTGCCTGAGTGTGTATATGTATGTGCAAGGGGTGAGTTCAGCTGGCTCACTTAACAAAATCACAAGAGGAAGGTTTGCCTTGCTGGTCTTTGTGAATACTACTATCTCAAGGGCAAAACAGTGATAGAAGAAAAGGATAAACAGTACTTATTTTGGCTTTGAAGTTTCACTGGAACACGTAGATCAGCAGAGAATTTCCTTTTGCACTGCACACTGTTAAAACAATTAACCTGTCAGCAGACCTTGCAGTTGCTAATCTCAATTGTGATATTAATAATATTTACTTTTATTCTATTTTCTGTTTTAAAGGGGATGGAAACATTTTGACTGCAATAGAAAAAGCCATATCAATCAATGAGCCAGGAACCAATCAAATCTCCATGAATCTGAGGGGAGGTGCACAGCTTTAGAAATAAGTATCTTGTATTTTTCAGATTCTTTTCCAGACATCGAATGGACTTTACAAGCCACACTACAGACACTAACCTGCTGGTATATTAACTCATACACTTGGTACGGGTATTACTGTGTGATACGAAGACTCATTTTCAAATTGATCATCAAACTTCTTATAATTGTGCCTAAAGTAATTTATTCAATTTTATTGAAGCAACAACTATTATGCTTTGAACTGATTTCATCTGAACATTGGATGAAATAGATTTATTGCTTCCAAAGAACACACATTTGGAAGTGAAGCACCGAACGCACAAAAAAGATTATAACTTAGTGAATAGAAGAGAATATGCAAGATTATGATGAAGCAACTGCTTTTCTGGGAGAGTGGGGTCCCTTCCAGAGAATTATGTTCTTGCTGCTGAGTATCACCATTATCCCTAATGGCTATGTGGGTTTGTCCATGGTGTTTCTGGCAGACACCCCTCAGCATCACTGCCGTCTGCCTAACTCTCTGAATGGAACCACTGGAGAAGCCAATCTGAGTTCACTGCTGCCTGTAGAGGAGGTGGATGGTGAGATGATCTACAGTCGATGTAGAAGATACAAAACTCCTGTAACAGACGGTTTCAATGACACAACACGTGAGACTGAGCCCTGTGTGAATGGCTGGGAGTACAGCACTGACAGGTACATCTCTACAATTGTCTCTCAGGTAAGAATTGTGAATTTGTTTTTAGAAAACACACTAAGAGAATCAGTAGAAAACATTACTTTTCTCGAAGTTAACTGATTTGAATCATGTTTTCATGTTTTGACCTATACTTAACTGCAAATTACAAGGTGCTAAAGTGGCCAATTTCAAATATTTGGATTTTACAATCAGAGAAAATGAGAAGAGAAAACCAAAATTTGGCACAGTTGTTTGTAGTACTGGGGTGAAAAATATGATGCTTTACAGCACTAACACTTTGATAACACTTTTAGCGCTTTGGGACGTCCTCCCAATGTGAAAGGCGCAATACAAATGTAATTTTGTTGTTGTAGTGACCAATGAATGTGTTATTGCATATATTTGAAAACATCACAATTTTGCATCTATCCTTTAAAGACCGATCACAGATATCAACCTCCTTTCCACCTAGACTTTATTAAGACATTGGTAATAAGACATAAGGTACTCTGATATCTAAGACACAACAACAACAGCAACAACAACAACAGCAACAAAATTACATTTATAGAGCACCTTTCACGTCTGGAGAATGTCCCAAGATGCTGGACAATCAGGGGTCAGGACCCGAGCAGGGGGAGGGGTGGAGTAGGGTTGAAGCAAGGCAGAGAGGTGGGAGGGCGACCGAAGGCACAATCGAAAAGGAGGGTCTTGAGCCTGGCCTTGAAGGAGGCAAGGGAGGAAGCGAGACAAAGGGACTGTGCCTTGGGACGTCCTCCTGACGTGAAAGGCGCTTTATAAATGGAATCTTGTTGTTGTTGTTGTGGGATGGAGTTCCAGAGTTTGGGGGCAGAGAGGCTGAAAGCCCGGCCATCAATGGTAGGGCGGGTCGGGCAGAAGACATGGAGCAGATTGGAGCCCGCTGAATGGAGGGAGTGGGAAGGTTGGTAGGGGGTCAGAGAGGAGGAGGGAGCAAGGTTATGGATGGCCCTGAAAGTGAGGACGACTTTATATAGTGCCTTTCGTGTTGGATAGCATTTCAGTCACCATAGCATGAAAGGCAGAACCATTCACAGATTGGTTGCAGGGAAGAAATTAAAGCTGCTTGTTGATTTAACAGATTCTAAGTTATTTTGATCCTATAAACTGTTCTAATCCTTATTGTAATCACGTGAACTGTTCGTATCTTTCAACCTATCTGACTTTTTATTCATTTAAGTGTTCAGTTAAATTACAAACATAATCTAGTGGAACTCTGGCTCAAATATGTATAATCAAAGTAACAAAATAAAACAATGTAGGTAGTTCAGCTACTTTCTCATGTACTGTTTGCATGCACAATGTGTGCTATGTGGGAACTCCAGGATGCTTTGTGTGCCCTGGACAAATACATGTGTAGGAAGCCCCTCAGGCTGACTTGAGACGAGCTCAGGGTTTATGAGCTCAAGGAGAGGCTGGTGTCAGTGCATGGCATACAGGAAGCTGAAGACTTCATGGTTCGAATGTTTCAAGAGGTGGTCACCCCATAGCCACAGAGGGTTTAGGAGGAGAGTGAGTGGGTAACCATCCAGCATGGTAGGAAGAGGAGACATGTAGTGCGGAAATCTCCTGAGAGTGTGGCACTCAAAAACTGGTTCTCTGCACTGAATACCAGTCAGGGTGATGATCCCTCTTGGGAGGGGAGTCGAAAGCAAACAGATGCACAATGGGGATCAGGGAAGAGTATCATTGCAATTGTTATTGGGGACACAATGGTCAAAGGAGAAATCAGACATTTCTGCAACCAAAAACATGACCTTCACATGGTATGTTGCCTCTCTAGTGCCAGGGTTGAAAACATCACGGAATGAGTGAAAATATTCTGCAGGGGGAAGGGTAACATCCAGAAGTCGTGGTCCATGTTGGGATCCTTGACGTAGGGAAAATAAGGGCTGAGTTCCTACAGGAAGAGTAAGCTAGGGAAAAAGCTAAAGAGTAGGACCTCAAAGGTGGTGATCCTTGGATGACTCGCAGTGCCTCATGCAAATGAGTATCAAAACAACAGGATCAAACACATGAATGCTTGGCTGGAGAAATGGTGCAGAAAGGAGGGCTTCCAGTTCCTGGAACACTGGGACCAGTTCTGGGGTAGGCGAGACCTGTACAAGGTGAATGGGTTACACCTGAACAGGGCTGGGACCAAAGGGTAACTAGCACTGTGAGGAAACTAAACTAATTTCGAGGGGGGAAGGGAATCAGGATGTAGCATCAGGAAGGAGAAACAAGTTACACAGAGGCCTGGGATAGATGAATAGCAATGTAATAAGGAGTAGTCCAGAAAAAAGAGGGATTAGATGGGAGAGAAATGCAGAGCAGACTCAGTCGGTCTTGGAGTGCATGTGTGTAATTGCACGGAGTGTGACAAATAAGATTGGTGAGCTTCAGGCTCACATGGGGTTATAATGTAGTGGCAATAATGGAGACCTGGCTCAATCAAGGGCAGGAAAAGGTGCTGAGTATTCCTGGCGACAATGTATTCAGGAGGGATAGGAAAGGAAAAAAAGGAGAAGGGATGGCAATATTGATTAAAGACACTGTTACGGCCCGGGAAAGGGATGATGTGCTAGAGTCACCAAAAACAGAACCTATTTGGTTAGAGGTAAGGAGCCGAAAAGAAGCCATTACTCTGTTAGGTGCATACTATAGACCATCAAAGAGTGGGAAGGAGATAGATGAGCAAATCTGCAAGCAGATTTCAGAAAGATGCAAAACCAAAGAATAGTGATAATGGGGAACTTCAATTATCTTAACATAGACTGCCAAAATAACAGTGTAAATTCTGATTCTCCTAATTCTCACTAGAATCTCTTTTGAACTATTTCTGTTGAATCTAACAAAATTCGTCTTTCGTCAATTTCAAAACAAACGAGAACAAATGCTTCTGGTCTATAATATATCATTAATATTAACTGTGGGGTGGAGTTTGACTGAGCAACTTTCCAATCACGTTGAGAATTTGCTTGGACATTAGCTCATTACTTATTTGAGGAATTTATTTGAATAGATGAGCATTCCAAGGCAGAAATTGATCTTTGCGATTACCATCCCAGCCTCTACGTATTGAATTCCTAGTTGCTGATAAATACATAATCCTTTTGTTTTATACAGTGCCTTTTATGCCAAGAAAATATCTCAAAGTGCTTCCACAAGATTTACTGCAAAGTGAATGTGTATTTTGATAGCAAGTGGGGCTAATAATTGTGCACAGCAATATCCCACAAAAGCCATGAATTAAATTATATTTGAGAGGTTGTTAACCAGAGCTCCAGGAAAAAACTTACTTCTCTTTTCGAATCACACCGCGGGAGAATTTTATTTGTATATCCTTTATCTTATAGGAGAAATACAGTTATATGCCTGCCCCTTTTTGTACAGAGTTTCCCCCCTTTTGCTAGGCAGATGGTTCATGGAGTTTCTTTCTTGAGTTTATGTGTTCAGTAACAGAGTATCAGGGAATTCCAATTAATTTAGTGAGTTACTTTTGAGCACAAATTAGCTGCCGCATTTGCCTACAAATACACAGTCACTATACTTTGTAACCTGCAGACCAATTGCTAATTATTATATTGTTTGACCATAATTGTTGCCAATTTGGTACGTTCACGAATAATGATAAAACATGTGACCTGGTGCATTTTTCACCTCCTTGTCTGAAGACATGACAACATTAGTTGGTCTATAGCACATGATTCTGACACTTATTGGTCTAATTTTAGATTGGAGTGACGCTACCAGCTAAGTGGAGATATATTAACCAGCAAGGTCAGCATGTGTGAGGTATGAAATGAGCTGGCAGCTGGTGAAAGGCAACACAAAGTGGATACTCGTATAGTAATTGCTTGTATCACAAAATATACAGTCAATTCACTTTACAGTATATTTTGTGAAGCACTTTGAGACATCTAGAAGACATGAAAAGTGCTTTATCAAATAGAAAGATTATTGTTATATTGTATGAAAGGATTCAGAGAAAGATTACAAAGCTGATTTGATCAGCTGCTTAGTCCAACTACATGTTTAATAGCAAAGCAATAGTTTGCACTAGAAGACACATTTATACTTCCCAACAGTAGAGTTTACATGTTTTAATCCACTAGATTCATTTATGTGCCCGTCTTTCCTTTGTTTTTACAAAAATATAAAATTATGGGTAAATGAAGATAAACATATTTGTTAGTAAAATAAACTATGTGAGCTTTTTCTTTGTTTTGCATGACTGAAAGCTGGTGCTAGTTTGGAATCTGCACAGTTTTCATAGTTTAGTGCATAGATACTAATAATACTCATTTAATTTTTTCTTCCTACATTGCAAATAAAACAAACAGGCTTGAGTTTTCAAATCAATCTAATGATTTTTTACAGCAATGTTCCATACAAAGCCTTTTTAAAATTTGGATTGGACTGTGTTTATGTTTGTCCAAAGGGATAGATTTATGTTGGGCTGAATAGCCTATAATATCACTTTGACTCCGGCCTTCTGCATGTCCCTCGTCCCCTCCGTTCCACCATTGCTGGCCATGCCTTCAGCCACTATGCCCTGAAACTCTAGCACTCTCCCGTGCAAGCCTACCACATTGTATCCTCCTTCCCTATTTTCAGATCATGCTTAAGATCTCCCTCTTCGACTATGCCTACAGCCACGGTCCCCTCCCCTTGGCTCGGTGTCAGGCTCCACCACAGTTAAGTGTTCCAAAATACTACCCTGTGTGAAGAGCGCTATAAATGAAAGTTGTTATTTCTCTGAAGGAAATGTTTTTCAAAGAAGTGTTTATAATTTTAGAAGACCATATTCTGAGGCATGTGCATAGTCATGGAGCAAACCTATATTATGTAACAGGTTCCAACACTTTCTCACTCCTTACTCCACATGCCCCTGTTTACCAAGCAGTAAGTAGGAACCCGGTTGTTAGTCGATCTGCATATCGCTTTTCCAGGGTAATAATTCCGACAAAAAAAAAGTACTAAATTGGTTATTTCATTCCACGACTGTTTGTGGGACACTG